CTGGATGTGTGTCTGTGAAATGACTTCCATATTGTCTGTGCTGTTGCTGTCCCTCAGTACACAGCCTCAGTATAAGGCAAAGCAGACAGCTGAGGCCAGGAAGTAGTGAAACCCAGTGCTCAGGCCATTCCCCAGCCTGCCTTCGGCTGTGAATGAGGGCAGTGGGGCGGGTGTGGTGCCGTGCCAATGAGCACATGGTGTGTGCACATGGCTGGGATGCCCCGGTCTGCGGAGACGCGCGGCTCAAGTGCCGAGTGTGGGCAGGTGCGCCAGAGCTCTCTGCTTGCAGGGCACAGGTGAGCTGCATGTAGCCAGCACGTGCCCAGCCAGCTCAGGTGGGTGTTCATCATGTTTCTGAAGGTCAGGCTTGCTAACCAGCAAGGGTACATGAAACCTCTCCTCTCCAAACTCTCCGAAAGTCACCCTCTGAGTTGCCTTTCCGTGAGTGAAACTCTTAGAGATTTCCAGGTGCCTCAATAGCTGATACCTGCTTGTGGACAAAGCAACACTCTGGGGCTTGCTCCTGCTATGTGATTGAGCAGGATTGGGGTAGTGGGATAAAAGCTTCCCCTTTCCTTTGGTGACAGGAGTTTTAAGTGATGGTAGCGATCGAGTGTTTCTTCAGTTGTCAGGCTTAGGCCAAATTGATCCCTGGTGGTTTTAATTGAAGCTTCATGGAAATTAGTCTTTTTAAAACAGTGAGGTGAGGGAGGCAAAATAACTGCGTAAACAGGAGGACATAAGAGAGAAGTCTTTGTTCTTGTGTTCCCAGAGCAGCCCAGCGTGGTCTGGGAACAGTGTGGTGTCCCCAGCTAGGAAAACAGCACCTCTGTCTTTGAACTTCCCTGACCTTTTACGTTATTTCAGTCTCATTCTCTAGAGTTCAAGGTACTGGCTGTGCTTCAGGAATTCACAAGCATAAACACTCATCAGTGTGGCTGGCACTACGATGAGATGAAAAGGGAGTTGAGAAGGGATAAAACACATCCAAAAGCCAAACAAAAAGTGTACAGGGTTTGTAAACAAAACATGTAGAGCTTCCCCAGTGCTGCCCAGAATGCCCACTTCCTTCCGCCCTCCCTCCCCTCCAGGCCTCAAGGCTCCTTCAAAGCCACAAGGGGCTTCTCTCGTAATTTTAATACAGCATATAAATCAGGGAGGTTTTCACCTAAGGCAAGGCAACTAGTAGTTGCCTTAGGAAGAAATTCCTAAGGACTTTGAGCAGCAGATAGTTTTGCTGCAAGTGTAGTTTTTCCACAGCCTGACTGTAAATCAGTTTTGTTAATCCCTTCCTGTTCCTCCCATGCACAGGGACTGATTCTGTACTGAGCTGGCCGGAGTGCCGGTGGCACATCATTGCTCAGTCGTGCACTGGGACTGCACTTTTTTATGCTGCATCAGTCCTTGAGCTCTAAAAAGCAATCGCATTTGGTGCTGCTGAAATCTGTGCCCTGTCATGAAAACTGGCAGCATCAAAGTGAGAAAGCAGTCTGACTCAGGGAGCAACTCCTATCCAAATTCTGCTCATTTGTTTTCCCTTCTGCCTTTGGGCTGAAACTACTGCACTGAATGTGATAAAACCTGATTTAAAGTTTCAGCCCTAGAGTGACTCCCAGGTTTTGGGCCATGTCAGCTGTGCCCCCTTTCTGGTGCTGAACTGTCTGGAATGTGTTACCTGGAGAAGTGTCAAAGCACACAGGTGACAATGTCTGGATACTTCATGCCAAGTCTATCTCCCTGGTCCTGGTGCAGCTGTACACCCGCTAGACCTTCTTTCTTTCCTCTGCCTTCTTCTCCCTCCAAGCTTTCCTGGTAGCAGGAGCAGAAGAAGAGGCTGTTACCAAGCCAGATGTGGTTTCTGGGCATACCCCCACTGTGTTCAGCGTGCACAAAGTGTCTCTGCTGCAAGGGCAGTGCTGGCCAGCACAGCCTCTGCAGGCTCCATCACACAGAGCCCCGGCCGCTCTCGCCTGCCCAGCTGCAGGGGCCAACCTGGAGCAGTGATAAACCTTCTTTGGGGGTTTATCTTTTGCTATTCCTCTGCCTGTGAAACGTCTGTAGGTAATTAAAGCCATATTTCAGCCTGTCTCTTGAGCAGCAAGCTGACACATATGGAATAACATGTGCTATGTACAACCAGCTGCAGTTCCTGTAACAGATGCTAAGTCCAGCATGTGCCATTCCCTGTGACTGGCAGGCCACCTGCGAGACTCTCCCTGTCACACATGGCAGAGCCCCAGGGAGCCTCTCAAGCCCCTGGGCGTGCATGCGAAAGTTCCACCTTCCCCCTTCAGTTCTTCCTGGGACTGAGATCCTGGGCTGGCTCCTCAGTAGCCTTCAAAGTTTGTGCTGGCCACACTTTTGGGATACTCAAATGTACATTTTCCTCAGGTAGACTTGACCAAGCCATTGGCTTCTTTGACACCCATTTGAGGAAATTGGTCTGTTCCCTCTCCTCTCCACTCTCATACCATCTCCTTCCCTTGCCACATTGCATGTATTTATTGTCACCTGTCAAATACGAGTTTGGTCTCATTAATTTTCTGATCTGGAGAAGTACATGAAGCACAGGTAAGTTCACACCTTGGAGACGCTGTATTTAAACTACATTTTTACTAAAGCTGGAATCACATTTACCTGTGTGGCCTCCTCTGTTCTGGACACTCCGCCTTGAAACTGTGATGACACTGTAGCATCTAAAAACCAGAGACTTTTCCTCTTGGTTTGGCCTTCTCTGAGTCCTTTAACATTACTGAGTTTGCTTATCCTTTCCCCTGCCTTTTAAGGACTGTTTGCCCTCAGGAGCGCTTTAACATATGAAGGCTGGGTCTGGATTAACTGTTGTCATCTACTTTATTTAGTTGGCCTGTGACACTGCAAAGCAGCTGGGTAGGTCCTGTCTTAATGTACTCAAGGAAATGGTGACTCAGGCCCATGTTCCAAGATTGTGTGGGAACTGCTGGGCAGGAAAATGGAAAAGAAGAAGGAACTGAAATCATATTAATTGTGCTGGTTTTAGACTTGGAAATATGCAACAGATAGCGCCTGTAAATGTGTTTCCATTGCAACTGGTTTCTAATGTGAGGTGACCTGATAGGCACAAGTTTGTCATAGTGAAGTCAGAGAAAACTGCACATGCATGAGGAAGCTGCTGGATAGGGAAGCGTCTCCAGAAGTGCCTGGCAGCACTGGTTGTCCCACCCTCTGACAATGGCAAGTGTTTTTTCCCAGGCCAGTTGTCAGTGGCAGAGCTGCCGGCAGCTGGAACTGCACCCACAGCCAGTTGCTTCTCTTGGGCTGGCAAGTCATGGCATGGGGAGGGGAAACCTGTAGTGAAATACATCTGGGGTAGGACACTGTCCTTGTGTGTTACCATCTGCCTGGCACTCCCAAGTGACTGCCTCCAGGCAGCAATTATATTCCTCCCCACCTGGCTCATCAGAGGCAAGCAGCCCCCACTTTCGCGTAGCAGTATGAGGTCTGGGCATACAGCAAATGTTGCAGGGTGCCATTTCTCCTCACTCACATGGCCAAGGCTCAAATCTGGCATTTCAACCTTTTAAATTCATCAACTCACTGAAACACGACCAGTTCCCAGACTCACAGGACACAGTAAAAGCCATGTGAGAAAGAAGTTACCTGATTACCTCAGGGTCTGACTTGGAGATGTAGTGCAGGGTGACAGCAGCAAGCTGCCATACTCACCACTTCTGATGAGAAAATGGGGTCCTGGTTTTGGAAGCCCACTACAAAGAACTCCTTGGGAAGAAAATGGTAGTTCAGTGGAGTAGTGTACCTGTGCTTAAAACAGTGAAGTTTTTCAGGGAAGAAGAAAGAGCCACCAAAGGAACATTCCTTGCTCACAAGCATTCACTGCTTGTCTGTTACCAGACGTGGAAGATCATGGGGACACAAGGCAAGGCAGGACCAGGCAAGGGCAATGGCAGTGCAGGGTGCTCAGTGCACATCTGATATTAATCCCTGTCAGTGGCACCTTTGTGCCTGTGAAGATTTGAAAGGTGTGTAAGATGGTTTTGTTTCCTCTGGAGTTATTCCGGAATCTGACCCCAGCCGTGTTCTAGTGAGAGAGTGTTTCTCTGCAGGTAAGTTCAATCTTTAACCCTTTGATTTTCCAGCTGGAAGATACCCCAACCCCCATTGTGCAGGTGCTCAGCTGAAGTAAGAGCCTTCACAGGACAGTGAAAGCGTACTTTTCTCTAGTCTGTTTTCCCTGAAACATGCAACTGCCTTCAATTAGTGGTATATTCAGTTGTTTCCATTAGTTTTGACTCCATCACTCAAGTCTTGAGGCAGGCTATACTGGTAGGAACAGTGATCTGCAGGTGCTGAGGGAGCTAGTAACTAGAGGAGTGGGAATGTGCACATTACCCCTGTACACACCACGTGGGGCACAAGGCTGAAGAAAAACAACTGACTCCCTTACTGGAGCCAGCAGATCCGGCTGCAGCTGCAGTTTCTTGTCTGTCCACTATTACTTCTTGGAAACAGCAATGCCAAATTGCACTCAGAATGAAAATCCTTTGACCTGCCAAGGAAGAATTACATTTCTGTGTCTGCCCTGCAGAGTTTGGAAGGCTGGCTTGTGTCTGTTGTCAGTACCAACACTCCACAATCAACAAGAGCTGGAAAGAGAAAGTCACTGAATCCCCTTTTCTCAAAGGAAAAGAGTCAGTCGGGTTCTTCCACTAGATCTGGCAGAGGCATGCTGCTCAGCAGCATGATGATTTAAAAAAACCAAAACAAAACCACAAAAAATCCATAGGAACTTCAGCAGTATTAGCAGTTAATGCTTTGTTTGAAAAAAAACCAAAACAACAAAAACACCATTAAAAAACAGAAAAACAAACCAACCAAACAAAAACAAACAAGAAAATCCAAAACAAAACCAAAAAAAACTCAACAAACCCCAAGACTTCCTAGTTTGAACTCCAAGTCCATAACAGAAAAAAAAAAGCAGAAAAAAAAGGCCAACACCAAAGTACATGAGACTGACTTTGTCAGTTTGTTTTATTACTGGGCACAGCACCATACCACTTCATATGCATACAAGCCACAGTAATACAAACAGTCCCTAGCCTTTTTTATAATTAAAAAAAACACATGGTATTTGGGAGGAGCCAACAGTCCCAGGGGTCAGCTCTCAAGAGCTGTTTTGCTGCAGTTGCAGCAGCAGCAGTTTTCTCACAAAATACTGTGGGTTTTCATGCTGCTAATATGTGAAGCTGAAAAGTCAGAGCTCACAGCAGTGCCTCTGCTTAACGTGATAAAGGCGGGCTTTTCAGCAGCTCACAGACTTACAAGTATGCTCAGTCATGGTCCTCTGCAGTGAAATGAAAGTGTGCCAGAGACACCCCTACACGAAACTAGAACCCCTGAAATGATTCTACAGAAACCCACGTCATCCTCAAGCACCAGAGGTTTATCCAGTACAGGGCCAGTTAAAACTCTCCTGAATCCTGATGGCTTTCCTGCAGGCAGCACAGGCTTCCCACACAGGCAGGAGCATTTCTTACAGAGTCAGTTACGTCTGGAGCAGCACAAGGACAGTGAAGCTTGGAAAAAAGCTTGTCATTAAAGGAGGCTTAGCTCCTCAGAAAACAGATTTGAAACTAGAAGGCACAAATGCAAGGCTGAGTGTGGGCTGCGTACCACTGCGGCATGTGAGTAGTTTAGATACCCCTCCTAAGATGAAATATAACACATAATAAATACAGCATGACATTTTAGAAAATAAGTGCATTACTGTGATCCTTCACAATATAAGTAGGACCCACAAGAGCACAAAGAGGCCTGTTCATTTTATATTGCACAAACGTTCTAAAATTTAGTGTCAGGTCACTGTACTGGAGGTGGGACAAGGCAGGGGAAAAAAAAAAAAATATTTTATTTGGCAGAATCTGCCAAAGTCTCCACCACCACACAAACAGCTTTTTGCCAATTTGAGGTAGAATTACATATATACTGCTTAAACCCAGTCAAGTCCTGCTCAACTAGTCTTCAAAGAAAAAAGAAGAAAAAAAAGAGAAAGTGCAACAATTTAGAATAGATGAGCCTCTTTCTCTAAAGAAAATGAATGCCTCAGGTTTGATTCCCAGAAGCAAGTCTTGCAGAGCAGAGTTCCTGTGAAGATCCCAGCTCTTCATCTGGAAGGCAGTGATGGGTATTGTGATGCTACAGAAAAGGAGTGTAACAGGTACTAATTGCAAGTCCTATAGCAAGCATTTTGCTCTCCACTTCCTCCCTCCCCAACTACTTGCTAATTGTCCCTTTGTTCACTCAGTCCAGTATATTTCATCAGTTAAGATTGTCCCCACTGCTTTCTTCTCCCTTATGTCCCTTCTATTGAGCCCTGCAAAAAAATTCTCCCATTTCAACTCTTAGTCTTCTGAGGCACACTTGCACTTTCTTCTAGAGAGTCCTCTGTGTAGTATAGACAGGGAAGGATGGAAACGAGAGCCTCTTCGATGGAGAAGAGATGTTTGTCCTCTGCTTGAGGACAGAAGTAGCGCATAAAGTCTGCCAGTCTCAGCAGGTACTCAATGTTATGGCCAGCACAACCACTTGAGACAATGATTTGTGCTGCAATGTCTTCTTCAGATGCTGGGCCAAGGTAAGAAGGGTTCTGGGGCGTCGCAATGTAAACAAGAGCCAGGATGGGTTCCTCTGTATCTTTCTCCTGAGGGTGGAACTTCACCAGCTTGGTGTCATATCCTCCCAGGACAGCTTCTCGCATGTTGAGATACTCGAGCGATGCAGCGATTTGCTCCCCACGGACTTCATAGGCTACACCCCACGTGCACGCCTAGAAGGGAAAGAGCAGGGTGGTTACGGGATGCTGTACCTGCACCGGCCTGTCCAGCCGCCCGCTGATGTTTCAAATCAAGGCTCCCTTACTCCGGGGGATCTCCGCACAGGTGATAAGACAGCAGAGGAGGGTATCGCCCCGCACCATTCCCCGCCATCCCGGCGGGGCTCAAGAGCACTCGGCAGCCGCCACACCTTTCCAGGTGGTGGCGCGGGCACCCCCCGGCCAGGCCAGCTCCCGGGGCCCCGGTACTCACCCCGCAGTCCTCCAGCAGCGTCACCACCCGGCCGGGCT